TAGAATTTTTAGACAATAAAGGTCAGCGTAATCAAACTCATCGTAATGTTACTGTTAAAGCGTATCAGGTGTCAGCAACATCCTGTGGTTTTTGTCAAGATAATCACAAAATTTCAAATTGTAAAAGGTTCGGTCGTCTCGATGTTGATAAGCGTCGGAATTTTGTCCAAACAAATGGTTTATGTTATAACTGTTTGGGTGGAAATCACTCCGTATATTCATGTCGCCAATCCACAAGATGTCATACATGTAAAGGTAAGCATCATTCTCTCCTTCACCTTAAGAATGTCTCCAAATCAGTTAGTGTTAACAACGCTTCTGATCAGGTAGTAGAAGGTAGTGATGGTGCTGTCGCAACTACATCAAATCAGAGCAAGTCCACTAATGTTGTAAGTTGTTTTGCTAATAGTGATAGTCAAATCTTATTGGCCACTGCTTTAATCGCAGTGGAATCAGGGAGCGGTGCTGCAATTGTGTTAAGATCCTTGATAGACCAAGGATCTCAAGCTTCGTTTATAACGGAGTCCGCAGTTCAGCTCTTAGGTCTTAAGAAGATACCAACTAGAGGTTCAGTCTCAGGTATAGGAGGTGATCAAAGACAATCGATGATTTCACTAAAGTCGATGGTTCTTTTAAAGGCTAAATCACGGATAGACCCTAGTTTTATTGTTACGGTAAGGGCATACGTTTTAAAGAAGTTAACTAGTCTTTTACCGGAAAGGAAGGTAATGGCAAATGTTTTAACCACAATCTCGTCTTTGGATTTAGCAGATCCTTCATTTGATACTCCAAACAAGATTGATTTGCTGTTAGGCGCTGATGTTTATGGCCAGATATTGTTAGAAGGTTTAATCAGAGGTCCGCCTGGTCTACCTATTGCTCAAAATACAAGACTAGGTTGGATCTTGTCTGGTCAAGTAGGCGAACAAATCAGCCAAAGCGAGACATGCCACAATACTGTCGTGAGTTTATATTCAACTCAAATAGACGAGAATGCGCTTCTTAAGAAGTTTTGGGAGCTCGAATCTGAGCCCCATTGTGATTACAATAGGATTTACTACAGCCCAGAAGAACAGAAATGTGAGGAGCTGTTTATGGCCACCACCGTACGGGATGGTTCTGGTCGCTATATTGTAAACATGCCCTTTAATTCAGACGATCCAGCTTGTAAATATGGCGGATCAAAGGAAATTGCTCTTCAGCGATTTCTAACGTTAGAAAGGCGGTTTCTAAAGGATCCCGACTTCAAGGCACAATACTCAGCCGTTATAAATGAGTATGTAGCACTTAATCACATGGATGTTGTAAAGGATCGGGATAAAGCAGGTTCGGTATATTTACCGCACCATGCCGTCATTCGTAATGATAAGAGTACAACAAAGTTGCGTATTGTATTTGATGCATCCTGTGTAGGCAATAATGGTGTATCACTTAACCACAACTTAATGGTTGGTCCATCCTTGCAGCCTGAACTCCGTCACATTATCTTACGTTGGCGTTTTCATCCTATCTGCCTAGTAGCTGACATTGTTAAAATGTACAGGCAGATTAAGGTATGCGACGACCACACAGACTATCAGCGGATTTTATGGCGTGAGAATCCAAATGACGAACTTAAGGTTTTACGACATTTAAGAGTCACTTTCGGAACATCATCAGCGCCATATCTAGCTGTACGCTCGTTGCAGCAGTTAGCTCAGGACGAAGGTGCTGAATTTCCTCTAGCAAAAGGCCGTGTTGTTTCCGACTTCTATATGGATGACCTCATGTCAGGATGTCAAAGTATAGAAGAAGGAATAGGAATTTATGGGCAGATGACGGAATTGTTGGATCGTGGAGGGTTTCGATTGCATAAGTGGGCAAGTAATAGCAAAGAGTTATTGAGAATTATTAATAATGGCAACCAGATGTCACAAACTCAAAACATGGAACTAAAAACAGATGCTATTTCAAAAATATTAGGATTAACTTGGGATAAGGACAGTGATGACTTTGTCTATACTATTTATCTTAATGATATAGATCTGCCAGTAACAAAACGAAAGGTAATTTCAGACATAGCCCGACTCTTCGACCCGCTTGGAAGGCTGGCACCGACCATAATCACTGCAAAGGTGTTTATTCAACGATTATGGATGACTGGGATCGGCTGGGATGCAGAACTACCTCCACACTTGTTGACAGAGTGGCTTGATTTTCGAAAGGATCTTGGTAACCTTAGCAAATTTCGTCTACCTCGTTGGATAAATTCGAATGGGGATAACAGGATTCTAGAATTGCATGGCTTTTCAGACGCATCCAACGTAGCTTATGCCGCAGTAATATACATTCGCATAGTTGATCAAGACGGTAATATTCATGCCAACTTGTTAACTTCTAAAACTAAAGCAAGTTTCAATTCCTCGCTTAGAACTTTGCGGAGCTGTTTTATTGGTAAAACTTCTACAAGAAGTCTCTTCAGTTCTAGAAGTTCCCAAGTAGCACATATACGCGTGGACAGATTCATCCGTTGTCTTAGCGTGGCTCAGCAGCCACCCAAGCCGGTGGAAAACCTTTATCGCGAATCGTGTCTCCGAGATACTCACTATCACGGATAGAAGTCAGTGGTCATTCGTACCTTCTTCGGAAAATCCAGCAGATTGTGCATCACGGGGAATACGTCCTTCGGAGTGTAATGATATAATTCTGTGGAAAAAGGGTCCGACATGGTTAGAGAATGAAAGAATAAACTATAATAGAGGAAATATACAGGAAACTACATTAGAGGAACGAAAGACAAAGATGAAATGTTATGCAACTGCTACAGAAGGTGAAGATGATCTTTTAACTAGGTTTTCTAAGTTCAATAAATTAATCAGGGTTATAGCTTACTGCAGAAGATTTCTACAAATGAAGGTGACAAAACTAGAAAGGGGTGAACTACCTACTTGGCTAACTACGAAGGAATTGAATAAAGCTATACTTACCTGTGTGCACCTCTGCCAGCTGCGTTATTTTAAGGATGAGATAGAAGCTGTAAAAAAGGGATGCAAATTAAATAAAATGAGTAAACTAACCTCGTTAAGTCCTTTTCTTGACGATAACGGAATCCTAAGAGTAGGTGGTCGTTTGCATCGAGCTTCTATTGATGAGAATATGAAACATCCCATATTGATACCTCATAAATCACACCTCACCAACCTCTTGATCGGAGAGGCTCACGAGAGAACCTTGCACGGTGGACCCCAGCTAATGCTAAACTATTTAAGATCTAAATATTGGGTCCTCAACGCAAGAACTCTCGTTAGACAATATGTTCATAAGTGTGTGGTTTGTATTCGACATTCATCCCAAATAAATCAACAATTTATGGGACAATTACCGAAGGCCAGGGTCTCTGCTCAGAAACCTTTCCAGTGCTGTGGTGTGGATTATGCGGGTCCAATTAACATTCGAGCCACTAAGGGTCGCGGTTTTCACTCCAGTAAAGGATACATATGCCTATTTGTCTGCATGTCAACCCGGGCTATACACCTGGAGGTCGTGAGCGACATGAGTTCACCGAGTTTTCTTGCGGCGTTTAAGCGTTTTGCAGCAAGGCGTGGTAGGGTATTAGATTTGTGGAGTGATAACGGGACTACGTTTATTGGTAGTGCGACGGAATTGAAACGGTTATTCAATGCTGAAAGGTCTATGGTAGCTCTAGAAATAGCAGATTTCCTGGCTACGAATGGTACAACTTGGCACTTTATACCTCCCCATGCTCCAAATTTTGGAGGATTATGGGAGGCTGGTGTCAAATCTACAAAGTACCATTTGAAGAGAATTATTGGTAATAGCACATTGACATTTGAAGAAATGACAACAGTGTTAGCTCAGATAGAGGCTTGCCTCAATTCTAGACCGATGTCTCAGCTATCTAACGACCCAGACGATGCGTGTCCATTGACCCCTGGGCATTTTCTTGTCGGTGAACCTCTAGTCACTGTACCCGATTCCCATTATGAGAATGCTTCCATTAGTAATCTGAAGCGGTGGCACCTTACCCAGAAACTACTCCAAAATTTCTGGCGGAGGTGGTCGCTAGAATATTTAACACAGTTGCAGCATCGACATAAATGGTCAGAATACAAACCTGAACCTAAAATAGGAGACATTGTTTTGGTTAAGGAGGATGGGCTTCCTCCTGCTAAATGGCTTTATCCAGGTTTGGATAATCTTACACGCGTAGTAACCTTAAGGTGTAAAAATAAGGAGATCAAAAGACCAGTGTCGAAATTGATCATTTTACCTGTAACTACTTAGCTTTTAAGGTTACCCTTTTTTTTTGATAAATTGTTTTTTTTTTATTATAATTATTTTTTATTGTACCTATACAACTATTACTTGGCGTACCTACTTGCATGAATTTGTTTTACTTTTTGTTGTAATCAATTGTTATAAACTTGTTCTTGTTTTAATTACTTGGTCAGGGTTTTGTTAAGCCAAGCCATAAGAGTTCTTACTGTTGTTATAGGATTTATGGACAGGCTGTCCATGGTGGGCGGCATGTTTAGTCTAGGTATTTAGTTTAAACCTGTTTAACGACAATACATGATTTATTTGTACCTCTAATGCTCGATAGATGGCGTTGTACTATTGCGATCCGTTTCTAGATGTCGATGTTAAGATTTTCTTGCAATGCATTATCTTCTAGGCCAAGTTATACAATAAATTGTCTTGCTCTGAACATAGTGTTTTATTCCCTCGGGAGATATTTTTGCGACTTTGTACAGTTTGTTTTTTATAAAAAGCGTGTTTTTTCGTGTTTTCAAACTATTATTATACACACCAAAACTACATTTGAATTCTTCTATTTATTGTCGCTTCGAAAAAAGATATTGCTTGTATAGAATTGGCCGTTATTATTATGTATTATTATGAATTCTTGTAACATTGTTCTTTGCTTTCTATTTCTCTCTCTCTCTCTGCTTTAGGATATTTTCTGTTATATTTTTTTATATTCATATTTTTCTTAACAGGACAATCCCACAACGCTACCTATCAACTTTATCGGGTGGGAGAAGTAGCTCGGTCATCGGTGCATGCCTTCTCACAATTTGGTAAAATTGATGAACTGGTTAAGGAAGGAGATGAGGATCCTAAAGTCTACGATCAATTCTCTGCACCAGCTATTGGGTTTGGTACTGGACAATCGGAAAACATGGTATTCGTTGATGGAGGACACAGTTTAGTAAGTTAAATAAATGACGCCTACATTTTATGTTTAAAGAAGTGACAGTGGTCCTTGAATACAAATTGCATACTTAGCATCATAGCAAATAATGTTGACTCCAGAATACGTACAACGTACTCCAAAGACTATTGGAAAGTACGGACTTTATCTGAAATTAAACCATTATTATTATTTCGAAGTTTAAGTCTAATATTTTTTAATAATTCTGGTGAAAACAAAACATACTTCATTAGCTAAATATTCCGTTATTAAAAACCCGTAACTTGCCCCCGATTTGTTATTCCCTCAATTTAGTCTTAGTCATTTTTTTAATTTTGGGGAATAACAAGATTCCAGAAATCTGCCAAAAACGCCTATTCAGTGGCAACAAAATGTGGTAATACACTAAGCCCGTGTGTTATCATTTTTCTGTTTTCAATACGTTTTTGGTGTCAAAAGTTAGTAAAACTTGTGTTTTTACCGGTCCATCTAGTAAGCTCAACTCAACTAAGTTTACATTAATAATAATTGATTTTTGGTAAACTACATATGAATCCAACCCTAGGTACAGTTTGAACCGCACGGCTTAGCTGTTTTTTGGTCTAGGGTTAGAGATTCTGACCGCTAATTATGCTATGAGCACGATCATTTGTTCTATATCTCGTTGTAATTTATCTACAATTTATATATATGTATTTAGATATATTTAAGTATGTTTATCAGCCCTGCTGTCTGTTTACCGACGAACAGCCTCTGCCTAGTTTGGGAACAAGATGTGTCAAGATGAGATGTGTCAAGTTATTATTTTGTTGTTATTATTGCATCGTGTGAATTGTGTTCGGTTTATAAATTTACACATAATATTGCAGGTGTCGCTGATATGCCATATGATTCCATCTCCAGACTGGTTTATTGGTGTTGATGGTCTAAATCTTTGCGTGGACTCTTCTTGGGTAGATCAAATCACGCTTGATGTAAGACTTTTTGTATAACTTGATTAATTAATAATGTAATTAATTATACAATAAAATGTCAGCAAAGAAAGTAACAAATAGTATATATATAAAGTATTGCTGTGTCTCTTACTTGACTTACTCGATCTTGTGTCCAAAGCTTCTTTGGACACTATAATATGCATATGGATTTCCCTTATTGAAATTGCACAGGCGTAATTGCCACAAGTTTTTTTTAATGGTATAATAGGGGCAAACGAGCAGGTTCTCTGATGATATCTGACTACCGCCGTCTAGGGACCCCTAACAAATCAAGAGACACAAGAACGTTGCCGCTTATAGAATGCCCCCTCCAAAAAATTAGGGAGTATTTGGGGGTTCACGAGGGCTCTTGTTTATGTCGTATTACTCTATTTGAGCCGACCGGCCCATAATTGCCCAAACATGGTTGTCCCACGGTAACTACGGTACATTCATAGCGATCTACTTATCTCTAAATATTTAAATAGGTTTAAATGGATCAAATCATGCCTAGTATTAAATCAATTAACCACGATTTAATGGGTATATTATCTAAATACACCGTGTATTATAACTGTTTAGTTGGAGCCTCTAGACGCTGGTATAGCTAGCGGCCTGACATTTACAGCACCCCGCTGGGAAACGTCCCCACCTGAACCAGTAACAAAACATAAACCTAGGAGACCCAATCATCCTGCAGCTGGATTCTACTACCCTGACCTGAAAGAACTGCCAACAATTGGTAAAGTGGAATTTACAAAGGTATGTGGATTGACTATTGTCTGGATATTTTGGGTAGTTACAAATGTTCAAACACGGTTTATTCCCAGTAGTTCCATGGAGTCAGTTCCACATGGAACTTTCGCAAACCACTAGTTCCATAAACAGAAAATTATACCCAGTAGTTCCATGACGTCAGTTGCAAACTGGTTTGTTGTATTTAAGGAAACTAGCTGTTTGCCGCGATTTCCCTCCCGTGATTATTTCTTATTTCGTGTTTCTTTTTTCAATCATATACTGAGGACAAGAGAACGGGGTAGGTCTTTGTCACTAGATAACACAAAAACTTATAATTTTTACTACTTTCCTACCTACCTGCTTTGAAATATTATAAAATTTCTGAAACCCGTATCTCATCGTCATCACTTTTAGAAGAATATTTTAATCTAAGATTCATATCCATAGTAGTAAGAATATCGACATTTTCATACAAACTTCAATTGCTGTCTGCTATTGCATCTACGAAGCCCCTTGTAGTATTTTTTTTATGTACAACATCAACTCTCTTATAGTTTCTTTATATAAATAAAATCAATAGTCACTAATTGTTTTTCAGAAAAAAACAATCAATGTCAGCTGTAAAAGTAGTATAAAATTACATGGAACAAATGGGACAAAAAAATATATTACATCAGTACCATGTAGAACTGTCTTTAGGGAATTACTAGGAATAAACCTCAAATACCAGCAGTTAAAAAACTCATTGCTTTTTTTTATGTACTGTATCTGGCATTTAATATATTTAAAACTTAAACATGGTTTACTACGTCAGTAAAACTTGTATTGAATATCTTTACTTTACACACAAATAGAGTTTGAGTTCTATGTGATAATTCTAACCTTAAATGTCTATAAACCAAAGAAGTCAATAATATGCAGGTAACAAATAAACTATATATTAGAAATCAATCATTACAGGTTAAAGAGTACACAACTAAAGAATTGAACGATCTCGCTAGAAAAGAACTAATAGCTATGCTGAAATTAAAAAACCAATATAAAGGCTTACCAAGAAAAACAATCAAAAACCAAGACAATGCTGACAATGATTTTAATAAAGAAATTGAAGAAGTCAACGATGCTACAACTAAAAGCAACGAGGACAAATTAAAGGATTTAGAAGAAGATCCTGTAGGGATCCCAAAATCAAATTCTCCAGATAACATAGTGGTTGTTGTTACTAATCCACCCACCACTTCGTAAGTATTGCTTCATTTAACAGTCGCATTTAGTCGGCCATTCATTACATTAGGCTTAGAAATGAAAAATCATAACATATTATAAAATATTTTGAAGATGATATGAAATATTATGTATGACATGTATATTTAGAGTAGATAGAACTAAGATCTGGATGAGTTATAACAATAGCATTTTGAATAGTTTAGTCACCAACAGTTGTATGTCGCAGGAGAGACAATCGATAAACAGAAGGTAATTTTATACTGGGTCATACTGAGTCACAAAAATAATCGTATCATATGAAGTTCACCTTAATCGCGCACTTGGAAAAAGGGGCATAGGACAAGAGAGGTGCACTTTGTAAAATGTGCACAATTTTATTGAAAATGATCTTAAAATAAAAATCGTTCATATTTGTTATATTTGACATAATACAAATATCAGGTACTGCAGGTATGCAAAGGCAAAAATCATGTAAATATTTAATGCACTTCTTATATATAAACAAAAATCATGGCAATTGTTAATACATATATTTATAATGGTGGACAACAGTATAAATTGTATTACTAAAAATGAGTTGTCATTAATATACGAGATGCCTGAAAGAGACTGTGTTTGTGTGTGTGTGTGTGTGTGTGTGTGTGTGTGTGTGTGTGTGTGTGTGTGTGTGTGTGTGTGTGTGTGTGTGTATGAATCCTAAGTACATTATCGATGCGACCGACTGGAAATTCTATTGTTTGGAATTTCTAACAATAGTGTTGAAATCATATGTTATTTATTTATCTATCTATTTACAAACGATATTTTTTATACTTTTGAATGGAATAGACACGAGGATTACTAAAAGGAACAGTTTCTATAGCTGTGACAACTTACCAGTAAAAATATTGACTTAATTTGACAAATTTATTTTAAATTCAGATAAAAATACAATAAAATATTTGGGACTAAATAATTCCAATTACTATGCCTATCACATACAATTAGATGTGTATTTACGGAAAGCACACAACGCTTTCAGAAGAGATAAACACACTTTTATATAAACACGTTACAACGAAACTCACTCCAGTTACATTGAAATTGATACAACTTCATCCCGTTATTTTACTTTACGTTACATTTATTACTTTTCCATTAGCATTACCATAATACAAGAGTTGGTAATTTCATTGCCGAGTGTTTCGACACGTTGACAATTCGAATTTGTTTTGAATTTAATCAGTTTGTCATTTGTTATTCATTTAACACAATAAAAAATGGAGTCGCTTATAGCACTGGATATATCAATTGCCGATGATCAATATTACTGGGATATTTACGTTACTGTTTATACTTTTTGCACGCTTTATATTAGCTTCACTTGTATGTTTGTATGTTTGTTTGTAACCGACTCCTTTGGGCGTGATTTTGACTGACTTCAAACGGTCAGAATTCGTTCAAACTTGAACCGAACCGAAAATCGAACCGATGACGATACACTAATTTAAAAAAAAAATCTATTAAAAAAAAACTAAAAAACACGCTTTTACAGAAAACCAAGGGTAGGGTGCTTTTTACTATTGACAACAGGCACCCAACGCTTTTTGCAAATTTATTAAAATTTGTTTTCTATTATTTAGTTTGGTTTCTATAAAAAGCGTGTTTTTTAGTTTTTTTTAACTTTTTTTTTAATATTTTTTTATGACATATTTTTAAATAGTTGCATATTCAACGAAGGATTTTTAAAAATATGATGATAGAGCATGTAGAGCTATATGTACAACCTTTGAATTATAGGGTCATACTCGTATGGTGCTTCATAATCACCCTATATTATAAAGGTTGGACTTTTTAGTGAGAAATAAAAATAATCTTAGGATATCGAGAACAGAGTCCGCACTAATTATTTCTATTACCTTTTTAGACTTTGGAGGTAATTTTTTGTACAAAAATACAATTACCATGCTGTTATTTCCAAAATATTTTTCTTATCAACAACTCATATCAACAGCCTTTGATAGTCCAGTGCCGGACATAGGCCTCCCCTTAGAAAGGATCTATACCACGCTGGCCAGACGGGTTGGTATAGGGTTTGATCAACAACTCATCACAAAAACAACTCATCATTTCAAAAGTACTTAATGTTAGGTACTAACTAAAGAATTAAATAAAGTTCTCAAAGGTGGTGTAAACAACTGTGACATGTTACAGAACTACGGAGAAAGAATTTGAAGGTGAACTTAAAAGTATGGATGATGTAGTACTGGCAGTGGCACAAGGCAGAAAACTTGGACTCCATAAACACCTTCCGCGTCATTTCCGGTCAAGATTACATCATGCTGTCAATAAGATCCAACGTAAGAGGAAATCAATTTACTATATAATTATTTATCATCACATCAACATCAACAGCCTTTAATAGTCCACTGCTGTACATAGGCCTCTCCTTAGAAAGGAGGTTTTGGCCTACTATAATATAATTATTTATAAAATGGTCTTATGGTAATGGTCGTATCACATTTTATTTTATTCCAGCCAATGACTGCCTTGTCTCAGAATGGAGTGACTGGTCCCCCTGCTCGGTGACTTGTGGCTTCGGTGACAAATACCGCCAACGGACCGTACTGAGGCAGAAAAAGGCTGGCGGAAGGGACTGTCCGAAACTCAGTGATAGAAAACATTGTGGTAACATCAACTCTTGCGCACATATCGATTACTTTGAGTGGTAGATTGACTGTATTTAATAAAAACCTGAAATATAATGATTGTATTTTCATTGTCACTCATATTTTATGATAACACAATATCTATTTATAAAATCCATAAGACGTGAGTTTTACCTGAATAACATGGATGAATGGAAATGTAAATACAAGCCATCGATGGTCACTTTAGGTATTCGATATGAAAATTTACCCTACGCCTACCTCTAATTGGAATTGTTTTTGCCGCAAACTCTTAGCCCTTCTACTGATATATACTTATATAGAGAGTGAATGAGAAGAATATAGAGTTCAAATACTACAACGAAGTTGCAAGAAGATTTTGTATTGTTAAAACCAAACAATAATTTTGACCCTTGACGTGAAATCAGAGATGACCTTTATTGATAAAAAAAAAGATAAAACAGGACCCTACTACAATTATGACTCTCTTGACAATACTGAACAGCATATATTATCGACATAGAGTAACACAATCCTCAAGGGCAATACAGTTTATAACCAAGTAATTAGTTTTAATAAACAAAAGGCTGTAAAAGCTTCAGTTGAGTTGAGTCGTAAAGAGGAGGAACTTTACAGAGGTCTGTTCGTGTCAATAAAACTCCAAGGGCTGGATGACGAGATTACGATATGAAATATTAAACAGCCGCTGACCAAAGAATTATTTGCCTCGTTCAGTATACGAGTATTTCTCAGGTGACACACCAGTACGGCCTGCTTAATTATATTCTGGAAAGTTTTGACACTAAAAGGGAAAATTGCGCACCAGCTGTAATGTTAAGAAAGTTTTTATTTACTTGTACTTTTATACGAATCATAAATAAAATGTTTTTTTTTCTGCTGGTATTATGCCAGTAGGTACGCACGTATAAGGAAGTAACTTCTAAAGATTGATGTTTTGAAAAAAAAACTGGACACTAAAAGAATCTCAGAAAAGAAATGAAAACATAACAAAAATACTGATCGTTATGCCTATCGAATCGCTCTTTTATTCGAATAAAAGATTTTATTGCATCAGGTGTCATCTCATATTTCAATTTACTTTTTTGGAGCTGTTGAAAACATCTACATATTTTTTGCGTCGGCATCTGATTCATGGCCATAAAAAAAAATCTGCAAATAATTAACACCATAAGCTATCATCATAATTTTCCTCTTTTCCCATTTCATTTGGGGCAAGCGCATTGCGAATACTGCAAAAGGTTTTGGAATAGAAAATAAGTAAAGTCATGCTGTAGGGTAACAATTGCACCGTGACGTCAGTTGTTGACTTGACTTCAAAAGTATTTATTTATTTTAATGAATGATGCCTTTTCAAATAAAAAATCATACTTGTCAATTAAAAAAATGGTATATATTTTTCACAAACATAGTTTTATTTATTTTTCTTGTTATACTGTATAAACACGTAGAACATTCTAAGTAAAATAGTTTTAAATATATTCAGTGACCAAAAAAATGTTATATAAACATTAATAACTGAACACCAATTTTCTTATAGGCAGTCAGGAAAAACCTGTATAATAACGAACCATAATGCCACACCCCATGCCAGCCACACGTGTGCTTGAAACATCGCATTACTGGGATGATGACCTGGAGAGGGCAGTAAAGTCTACCCCGGATCGAATTGACGCTAAGTCATTGGTATTCCGTCTGTGATGTTCTCAAAATCAAGGAGTATGTGATTCGATTTCTACCTACCGTGTGGATTGTCTAGTGCTGTTGAAACCACTGCTTTTGCTACCTTTTTATGCAATTCGCTGCTTTATTATTCCATGCTTATGTTTTTTACTTACGTAAATTAGTAAGACTTGCATCTTTACTTTCAACTCTAGTCTGAAGAACCTAAACATTCATTGCGTTTTTCGTTAAAGTGACAAGAACCATTTTTATTTGTTGAAAAATGTTGTGTAAAATAAGAATATAGCTATGTAGCACTACCCATTTAAAAACATATAAAAACTGCACGCATAACGTTTCTATTTTTTATTTTGCACTCTTTTTCTCATTTGAGACGTGAATAGTGATTTTAATCCCGGTTTACTAGTTCATAGTTCAAGTAATGTATTTGTTACGAGCGGGGTGTATAACGAATAAAAGTTGTCGGTTAATTACTTTATGATATGATATTAGAACTATGAACCACAATCTTAATAGATGTACTTTACTCGACACTAGATGGCGCTGTCCTGAACATTCCATACAATTCTGGAACAATCGACCCATTTAATCCTATGGCGCAACACATTAGTATTTTCCCGTAATAGGTATATTTGACAGTATAGAAATTGTCCCTTAACCATAAAATAGCAGAGAAAAAACTGTACCACTTCACAGCTTATTACAGATTAGGCGTTGTCCAAGACAAAAAAAAATAAAAAAAAACTTTTAAAAAGTTTATTATACCTTGAAAGTATAATACAGGTTTGGTCATTTTAATGGGTGGTTTTAACAGCTTTATTTAAATACTTTGTTCACTCAATCGGATACATCAATTGAGTGTCTCATCGCGAGTTACATACTAAATACGAACCTCTATCCTCGCTCCACTGCGATGTCTTTTCAAAACTAACCTGATATGTAAAAACATTTACTTTTCATTAACGGCTAAAACGCATATGAAAAAAAATTGGTTTGGTGTCCGTCAATCGCTATTGTATTTTTTAAATTATCGATAAACATACTGTCTTATAAATTATATCTATAGCAAATATGACTGCACGGATGGATGATATGTAGTGGTTTAAGCGATCGCCTCGTCGCCGCTTCCTACTGCGCTGAGTGTTGCGCGTCCGATCCCCACATGGGACAACACTTTGTGTGATCCACAAATTATTGTTCTGAGTCTGGGTGTTCTTTGTGACCGTTTCATGTATGTTTGTAAAGTCTCCCGCGACACAGGATATATTACGCTATTATTAAGCTTTCTGTTTCAATTGTTGTAATTTATAATACAGTTTGTCAATTCAAATAGGCCTGACTTACACCACATCTATTAGGAGTAAAATTTGTTCCTTAGTTGTTATTATTCCAACCTGTCTCAGGTTACTACTACCTTCTGATACTCAAAACACCTCGGATTACCAACCCTAGTCGCTTTCTTACTAGCTATAACACAAAATAACTGTACGAGTGGCGTAGTGGTTTAAGCGGTCACCTCGCCGCTTCCTACTGCGCCGCGCTGAGTATTGTGAATTCGATCCCCACATAGGACATCACTTTGTATGATCCACGATCATTGGTACAACAAATAATAGAGTTAAGCTACAGTCCTCTGAACTGGAAGATTTGAAAAACTAATTTAAGCGTTGTCCAAGACAAAATAAAATAACTGTAAATTCTTTTAAAACGTTTATTAAACGTTGAAAGTGGCAATATGCCAGCATAAATAAATCGCCATAAAAAAATCATCATCTATTATTTTCTTGTTACTCTGGACGATGACCGTCACCGTGGGACCTCGTTAGATGTTATTATAATGATGATAGCCTCACTAAATTGGATGCTTTAAAATAATTGAAATTAAATGGTTCCTAAAGAGAAAATGGTATCATTTATTTCAAAGTCAAGTTCACGACGATTACCAAAATAAATAGAACTATGTAAAACTTTTAGCTTACAGATTCGTACTAATTTAACCTGTTTTATTTGAGAGAGTTTTGAGTTTCTTGGGAACGTGTTGACACACATTTGTCACTAGTCATACGATTATGTTTAAGAACAAATGAACACTCATCGTCATGACTTTACATTTAAATGAAGTACAGTCATACACATTCCTATGTATGATATTTCCAATTAGGTAGGTTGAAAGTACATCCACAAAAAATCCAACAAGGAATTGACATAAGATTTGTCATATCCTGAGCAAGATCGTGCCTATTTCCGACCTTTCTGTTATTGCTTGTCAAGCAGAAAAACCGGTTATGGAATCCTTCGAAATTCAGGATGGCAATTTATTAAAGGAAGGTATGTAACCTGCGGATAATGCTGATTCAATAAAAGTAAAACAAAAGATTTATTACTTCTGCTGACTTAGTAATGGGACGGTGTTATTTTTACATTAGATCAGATGCGTAATAAATAAAACTACTGCAAGACTGCCTAGTCTGCCTATCGCCTTTAGCATGCCTGTGTCACGAAACATGACAATGACACTTTAGTAGTTTCACCATGACTTGACCGTTGCCTGTTAAACAATATTAAAACAAAACTATATGGATTTCTAACTCACGATACGTAAATTAATTTTATGATTATTAAAAGATAGTTATTTTCCTCGTGTTTTTGCGTGGTCAGCATTTCAGTCTGTTCTGGATTTTATTTTTTTTCAAACCGAAACTATGTAAAAGGGTTTTGCTGCTCAACTCATGATAATGCAGTAATGATATACGAGTATGTACGGATCACTGTTTTCCTTATAAATAAGAAAAAGGAAAAATATGTTATTTTATTCTGGTATTTTCACAAATCCGTGTAGTGACGGATTAAGAATACGGAATGTCACTACCCTAATTCATCCCGTGGGTGTCGTAAGAGCCGACTAAGGGCGCAAAACAACGCAGGACACCAGCACAACCCGTTTGGCCAGCGTGGTGTAGTAGGCCAAAATCTCCTTTCTAAGGAGAGGCCTATGTCCAGCAGTGGACTATTAAAAGCTGTTGATGATGATGTTCACAATAATTCGTAGAACTTGTACATTGCATATCGAAGTTTTGGCAAGTGAACATTTGAAAAAGCAGTACATATTATAACAAAACAATACCTTACAATTTTATAAAACACAACCCCAATACATAACATTAAAACTAAGAACATTTCAACTGCAAAACGAAATAAGAACAAGAGTTTGTTCAATTTTCCAATACATTAGAAGCAAGCTTGAGATTGATTCCCGGTCCGCGCCAGGACGCCGGGTGATTGATCTAGTGTCAACATGTTTAATATGCAGTTATGGAACGTAAACTATAAATACCTATATTTTAAGTAAAGTTTTGTACGAA